AAATATTGCTAAAGAGGACTTTTAGGACTGGAATGTGTTTATGAAGCATCAGATGTCACGTTGTAAGAATGACTGAAATTTTCCAACGACAGATAACAGGATGGTGACAGATAACAAAGGGGGACAAATATAGAAGTTTGGCTTTGTTTCTCTTTTCCTTTGTAGTGCACAAGCTTAAGATCAGGAATATATCAAATGAGTAAATTAGTAAAATGCATTATTTTCTTCAGTGGTATTGTAAGAGATAGGATTAACCCTATAATGCCAAATGTATCATATTTGATAGATGCGGTTTCTGAAATGTTTTGCCTCTGACACCTTTTGCATAATTTAATGGTAAAAACTCTGGTTAAAATTTATTTTTTTTTTTTATTTTTTTATTTTTTATTATTATTCTTTTTCTATTGTACACAATCAGATACACCTGATAACAGGGGGCAGAAGACTACACAAAAAATAATCTTGACTTATCGCATAGTAATAAATTATTAATATCAAAAATGTATTTTTGATTTTTCTTTTTACATATTTTGTTAAAAGGCCAAATACGGAATTCAAACCAAAAAAAAAGTAATTTTCTGTTTTGTTTTATTCTTGGATCGGGCCTTAAAGGGTTTTTTTTTAAAAAGCTCAAAACAAAAATCAGAATAATTTCGATACTTGCCTTTTTCCAACATTTCCAGGAGCTTCCTCCATGTGAGTAGGTCTTTTTCCTCCACTGGAGGGAGACCATCCCCCTCTCCTGCAGAAACGTGGCGCACACCTCTCTCATCCTGTGAGAAACCTGGGAAAGCTGAGACAAAGTGAAGCTATCCAGGTAGCTAGCAACTAGCTGTAGCACCTCAAAAGGCAAATTACTAAAGGTGTCAATATTCGGATCAACAGTTCCCTGATAGGTGGAGGGGACCAGGGAAAGGGAGTCGGTATCCGGGCAGAATTTGATGTTAGCTTGTTGACCTGAGGGATTAAACCTGGTTTGGGAAAACGTGCAGCCCAGGTATGCTAACGGGCAGCGCTGCAAAAACCAGGCCTGGATCTCACTGTGGGCGTTCCTGAAATGGGACCTGAACTCATCACGACGGAAAAAGTGACCACAGGTAAAGTTAAACGCCGAGCTATTTCTGTTGTGTCTCCTGGTGACGGGTTCTGCTTCGATTTGAATATAAAGACCGCGAGGTTTGCTAGCTACGACGTCAGCTAAAGAGGCTCCTTCTTTGAACGGAGCAGATGGGAAGTTGTAGGTTTGAGTCCCCACATCGACATAAATCCCGTCAGTCCAGGTACTTTGAGAGATAACATGCCCTTTGAATTCCTTTTCCAGGGAGCACAAAAGTGTCGAAATAACCTCGTCAGATTTGGGAATATCCTCCAGGGTTAGGCCCAGATCTGAGGTGTCCACGCCCTGGTGTTTGGTCGCTGCCTTGCTCATGGGGTCCTTCAGGTGACTGCGTTTCGCCCTGTAGCTTGTGGGAACGTTAAAAGTGTGTACCGTCTTCACTTCGATCGGTTCCAGGTTCCCGTAAACGAAATCCTTCTCCCTGGGGGTGCACGCGGCCAGTTGCCCAAAGTTGATCAACATCGCCCCGTTGTGAACCAGATACATGTTGTATTCCCCAATGTTGAATTCCTTTCCCAACCTTTCCAGAACCCCGTCCTGCCATGGAGCCAGACCCGTCGCCCCCCCCTCGTTTCGAGCATTAGCATTAGCATTAGCATTAGCCGAGATCTCTTCTTCCTGTTTGAAGTCTCTATTCTCCTCCTTACTCAATGCTAACGTTTGCACCTCATTTTGTTCCACTTGTCGTTCGTCATTATTCAGGTTTTTGACTGTTTGATTGCAGCCCATTTTCTCCTTTCTGAATATTTTCTCCCAGTTGCTGTATTTTTGAATGCGTCCCATATCTCGGCTGTTTACCAAAGCGTCTATTTCCTCTTGACTCTGTTCATTTTGCTCCATCTTTGCAAAGTCATTTTCTATCAATTCACGGGAAACACCCACCGTTGAACCAGAAACATCCTCCTCCATCAGTTTTGGGAATATTTCACATATCTCGGAAGGCCGAGGTATGCCTTCCATATCTCGGCTTTTTACCAAAGCGTCTATTTCCTCTTGACTCTGTTCACTTTGCTCCATCTTTGAAAAGCCGTTTTCTATCAATTCTGAGTCGTCTGAGGAATGGGAAACACCCACCGTTGAACCACCGATCCCAGCAGAAACATCCTCAGAAACATCTTGACTTTGTTCATTTTGATCCATCTTTGCCAAACCATTTTTTATCAATTCTGAGTCTGAGGAATGGGAAACACCCAACGTTGAACTTGAACCACTGACCCCAGTAGAAACATCTTCAATATCAGGCTTTTCCATCAACTCAGGGAATATCTCCTTCATCTTTATGGCCTCAAACAGTCTTTTTTGATCTCTTAGAGCCATAGCAACATCCACATCGACCTCTGCGTTTTCCTGAACGTTTTCAGACACATTTCTGTAAAAGCTTAAGTCGGTTTCGGGGTGTGGCCACCGGTTCCATTCCTGAAAACAGCAGACCAGGCTTGCCGGGCAAAACTCCAGGTGTTTGGATAGTTGATGGCGAGTCATAGTTAGAGGACAGCCGTATTCTGCGTTTAAACATGGCGTTGTTTCATTGGGACACAATAGTTGGTGCTCCTCCTGTTTACAGGAGTGGAAAAAAGCTCCACAGTTCTTCTCACAGCGGATGACCAGACACGAAGTCTGACAGTGGATGTCGTAACATTTGTCACAATGCTCGTGAAACCTGGCAGGCTTCGTTGGGTTTTTTACCTTAAGAGACAAAAATAACAAACCAAAAAAACACTGTGACTTTTTGAATGATTCACTTGCAATTCTAAGAGACAAAAAAACAAAACAAAAAAACACTGTGACTTTTTGAATGATTCACTTGCAATTCTAAGAGACAAAAAAAAACAAAAAAAAACACTGTGACTTTTTGAATGATTCACTTGCAATTCTAAGAGACAAAAAAAAACAAAAAAATACACTGTCTTTTTCTTTTTTTCTTTGTTTTGTTTTCTTTTTCTTTGGGTTTTTTTAACCTCAAGAGACAAAAAACACTGTCTTTTTCTTAATTTTTTTTTTTTTTTTTTTGATTTTTTTTTTTTCAATTTTTTTTTTAAAAAAAACTTATTTTCCAGAATTGCAGCAGGCAGGATATACATTAAATAAATTTACTTTTTCAGAAAGTTCAAATATGAATAATCTAAAAAATAAATAAATGAAAAAGCTGGACTTACCATTTTTACTTGTGGACACTATGAATGTTTATTTCAGGAGACCTCAAGCAGGAAAAACTGTGAGATCACAAAATAATAATAGTATAAAGTAAATACATGATTTTCTCCAAGAAAGTTTCTGCAAACTTACAGAACATTTTTGGCATTTAAATGGATAATTAATGTTAAATTGGACATTGAGGTCACCAAATTTTGAGTGGACAGCCGAAACAATGGCGGTAAATATTCTCACCCTTTGTTCCTCTGTTGCCTTTCGCTCTCTGGCACCTCTGAATAATAACCTCTGCTCTGTGTCTGGATTTATAAATAGACACAATGGAGGGGCAGACAGGAGAGGGACGGGGAAACATGGTCACAACCATTAAAAGCCAAGGTCAGATTACACCCCACTTCAGATTCAGGGGGGTGGGGGGTGATAATAACAGGTAATCCAAGGTCTCAACGGTTCAACTTCTGTATGTATAATAATAATAATTAGGTTAATTATTATTATTAT